AATGTCTTCAGTGGTCTCAGTATGATCAGGCAAACAATTCAAACCCTTGCACAGAAGCCACTGAAACTTTCTTCAGTACTGGTAAGCATTCCTCCAGGTGGATCATAAAAATGAACCGACCTCTGCATAAACCAGATACACGTACATGGTCTGCATCAAGTAAGGCATTCCAAAATTAATGTAATACCATTATTATTTCATTGATTAAAAGCACTGCATGGTAGGAGTAAAGAGTAAGAGATGGGAGGAAGAGGTGCTGGTGTTAAGGGATAGACATCAACAGAAAGAATGGATGAGCCTCATTTGTCAATTTATGGAATCCTCTGAAATCAACTTTTGGTATTCAATAATAGGGACATTGTCGAGATGTTGAACTGTTAGTATGTAACAGTTTACAATGATGTCAGACACGGCTCGGTGAAATGACAATGTGGGCCTATTGTGTTCAATGAGTAGGGGTAAGAGTACGGCTTGCCACAATCTATTGGTAAGCCTCTTTTTTTCATCTTTGAATTTTTAAAAAACTTTCAATGTTCCTTCTTAATTATTTTACTGCTAATTACCATTATGGCAGGTTTCTATCAATAATTTAAGTCCACTAGAACTTTTCAGTTGTGTATTCTTTGCTTTTTAGATCCCTCAAGAAAGGTTCCCTGATGTTGGTGAAGAATTCTTGACCAAAAGAATTGAACCTGTCCTCTTCCTTGGATTGAGATTCACCGCTCCCTGCGAAATAGTTTATTCTTCAGAAAGAATTACAGTGGACCCCCGCATAACGATGGCATCGCATAGCGATTTTTCCGCATAACGATTACTTTTATCGCAAAATTTTTGCCGCGCATACCAATTAAAAACCCGCTTACCGATTTTCGTCCGAGACGCGTCCAATGTGCCCTCAGCCAGCCTCACATGTGCCGCCCCGTCCCATTGTTTACCAGCCAGCCTCCGCGGTAACATCCAAGCATACACTCGGAATATTTCGTATTATTACAGTATTTTCGGTGCTGTTTCTGGAAAATAAGTGACCATGGGCTCCAAGAAAGCTTCTAGTGCCAACCCTGTGGTAAAAAGGGTGAGAATTAGTATGGAAATTAAGAAAGATTTTGAAGGGTTTGGGGCTAACCCTGAGAAGCCTATGCCAGTTGTGGAATCCATTGTGCCTACTTCAAAGATTAAGGAAATGTGTGCACAGTGGGTTGAACTGCAAACCTTTATAGATGAAAATCACCCTGACACAGCTGTTGCAAGCCGTGCTGGTGACTATTTCATGACAATGTTATGGCCCATTTTAGACAAATCGTAAAGGAACGGGAGGTACAGAGCTCTATGGACAGATTTGTTGTGCGACAGAGGTCCAGTGACTCTCAAGCTGGTCCTAGGGGCATTAAAAGAAAAAGGGAAAAAACCCCGGAAAAGATTGCTACCTAAATCGTAGGGAAAGGGGTTTCCCCCTTCTAAACAGTAAAAATGATGCTCCCCCCCTCCCCCATCCATCAATCATCCCCGATCTTCAATAAAAGTAATGCTTTTAATTTGGGCATGCCTTTTTCAGTTTGTGTGATTAAAATTAACTTTCATGGGTAAAAAAAATTTTTTTCATTTTTTTGGGCTCTTGCAGGGTTAATTTTTTTCCCATTATTTTTTTGGGGGAAAATTTCATTCGCAAAAACGATTATTTCGCAAACGTGAGCCCTTGCACGGTTTAAAAATCTTTAAACCCCCGGGGTCCACGTTTTGTAGGCCGTTTTATTTTAAGCGAGGTCAAATCAAGGGTTCTCAAAGGGGGTCCTTGATGTCGTAAAGATTACTGATAAAAGGAATTGGATAAAATTTGGCTTCCTTGAATCTGTTTGCCTCCATTTAACGGGTTTTTTTCCCCCTTTTAGTTCAATGATCCACACAGGAGTAAAATTAACTGTAGGGGTAATCCCATTAACAAAAAATTTTACAAAACCCAAAATGGATATATGTGTCGGGGAATGAGAGGAAACATTTTGATTTAAAAGGGAGGGGAGGATAGCCCCAATTTTTTAATCAAGATCCTTCAATTCAGTAATGCACCCCCTTGATAGGTTAGAAATTAAATTTTTTATAAAAAACACCCTTTTCATTTCTGTTAAATTTTTGCCTAATTTTTTTCACTTGACTTGACATAAATACAGGGGAAAACCCCCGGTTTAACGATTTTATCCGGCAAGAGGGTAATTGTTATGCAAATAATGTTATGGGGAAAATTTTCCCCCAAGAAAAATGGAAATAAAATTAATCCGTGCAAGACACCCAAAAGTATAAAAAAAAAAAAATTTTTTACCACAGAAATGTTAATTTTAATACACCAAACTGAAAAAGGCATCACACTCATCCCTTTCTTTTATTGAAGACGGGGTGGTTTTTTGGGGTTTGGGGGGGGAGGGGGAGGCTTATTTTCTTACGTTTAAAGGGAACCCCCCATTAGGATTTGAGGTACAAGCCCTTTTTCCCCGGGGTTACTTCCCTTCTTCTTTTAATGCCACGGGACCATTTGAAGTCACGGGACCTCTGTCGCAAAACAAATCTGTCCATAGAGCTCTGTACCTCCCGTTCCTTACTTTTTGTCTAAAATGGCCACAACTTGTCTTAAAAATAGTCCCAGCAGGGTTTTGCAACAGCTTGTGGGGTTTTTTTCACCCAAAGGTTTGCAGTTCAACCCACTGTGCACACTTTCCTTAATTTTTGAAGTGGCACAAGGATTCCACAACTGCATAGGCTTCTCGGGGTTAGCCCCAAACCCCCAAAATCTTTTTTAAATTTTCCAAAAATTTCCACCCTTTTTACCACGGGGTTGGGCACTAGAACTTTTTGGGCCCATGGTCACTTATTTTCCAAAAACACCCCCGAAAACACGTAATAAAGAAATTTCCCCAGGTATGCTTGGGTTTAGCGCGGAGGGTGCCTGGTAAAAAATGCACGGGGGGCACATGTAGGGTGGGGGAGGGGGCACATTGGAGCTCTCGACAAAATTTTTGTGAGGGGTTTTTAAACGGGATCACGCAAAAATTTTGCGATTAAAAAATAAGCGGGATCAAATTTTAACGTATTGATGCCCCTCGTTATGCGGGGGTCCCCGATCCGAAGATTCCCTATTTTATTTATTAAAACCACCCGCTGCAAAAGCTAGCTCACTTCAAACACAATTTAAAAATTTTTAGACTATCAAATACAATAAAAAAAAAAAAATTTTATTCTTTTTTTCGAATTGAGAAATACTAAAATCTGAATAAAATTCATTGCTGTAAATGAGTACAATGTATCTGAATTATTTTTTTCAATAAAAAGTTATTTCATATTTTACTTATTTTTCCACTATTTTCCCCCCACCTATGATCCTTTTTGGGCCCCCCCCCCCCCCACCCCCCCCACCCACACCCAAAACTTTGTTTTCATGGCTCTCTGGACGGATCTTTTTTTTAAAGGGACCTAACTGAGGTTGTATTTTTTTTAAACTCCTTTTTTCTTCACATGTGAGTGATGAGCCATCCATGCTATAGCACTGAAATGAGAAATATGCAAAAAATATTAAACTTCTTATTTTTTTTGTAATTATTTCAAAAAAGGGGTTACTAGCCCCTTTTTCCCGGCATTTTTAGTTGACTTTTTCAACAGCATGCTTACGGAGGGGAAATTCTTTTCCCCTTTCCCCCCGGATATAAAAAAAAATAAAAAACAAAAACTATTTAAATAAAATCAAAAAAAACTCAGATGAGTGTGTAAAAAAACGTTACAGTATGTGTATTTTGACCCAAATGAAGTAGAATAGAAAACGTACCCCGTAATCCGCATTATGCGAGACAACAAAAGACACCCCCCCAAAACCTGTATAGAAAAAAAATTACAGGCTTTAATTTTACACTCGCTTGGCGGAGGGGTACCCCCTGGGGGTTTTGAGTGGGTTTGTCATTTGAGAGAATGGGTCAAAGTAGAAAGACTGGGGAGCGTAAATCTGAAGGGGAAGGAAGGGGGGGTGGGGCTCCCCGAAAAGGGTTGGGGGAAAGGGGGTAAAGAGGTTTTATGGGCAGGGGGTTTGGGCCTCCAAAAAGCGGCGTGATAGGGGTGAAGGGGACGAAGGGTAATTTTGGGGCCTGACGACTTTGGAGGCGAGCAGTTTGGGGGGTTTGGTTGGATCTTTATTTATATGCTTCTAAACTGTTGCTTTTTGAGCCCTCGGAAAAATGATTATTTTTAAGGCAAAAATGCTGAATGTGATGAGTAAAATTTTTTTTTGGGGGTTTTTTTTCTTTTTGGGCCCCCCTGCCTTTTGGTGGGAGTGCCGCTTTCATCCAGCTAATTTAAACTGGATGCAGTGGAGATGTTTGTCTCAGGGCAAAGTGTGGTGTAAATATTATGCAGAGAATTTAGTGTGGAAATTTAAAAAGGGGTAGTTAATGAAAATTTATTCAAGGGGTGAGGGTTAAGGGGTCTGTCATTAGAGAGTATGGGGCAAAATAGGTGACTTTGGGGGGTGATAAACCATAGTGAGGAAAGTTTGGGGAGGGGTATCCTAGGTAAGGATGGAGGAAGAGGGTACAAGAGGTTTTGTGGGGAAAGGGGGTTTGGGACAACAGCAGGCATGTGTGAACATGTTAGATAGGAGGGGAGACTAATGGTTTCGGGGACTTGATGAGCTAATGGAGTGTTAGCAGGGGAATATTTTGTGAAGGGATTCAGGGAAACAGATGAACCTGAGTCTGGCACTTTAAATGAAGGGTTTGGGGTATTTGTTTGGAGTAACATCTGAACTGTCGTATCTGCATACCTCTGGCAAAGACAATGATTATGTGTGAATGATGGTGAAAGTGTTGAATGAGGGGGAAAGGCTTTCTTTTTGGGGTTACCCTGCCTCGGTGGGAGATGGTGATGAGGTGACAAAAAAAAAAGGTCTTAAGCTGTGCAATTTTTTTTTAAAACATTAACAATGCTCCACCTTTAGCTCTCATCTCACAGGTACACCTATCTCATTTTTTTTTTTATTAACACATTGGCCATTTCCCACCCAAGCCAGGGTGACCTGAAAAAGAAAAACTTTCATCATTTACTCCACTGTCTTGCCAGAGGTTTCACTTAAAACTACAGTTATAAAACTGCAACATTAACACCCCTCCTTCAGAGTAAAGGCACTGTACTTCTCACCTCCAGGGTCAAGTCTGGCCTGCCAGTTTCCCTGCATCCCTTCATAAATTTACCTTGCTCACACTCCAACAGCACATAAAGTCCTAAAAACCATTTGTCCCCCACTCACTCCCTATCTAACATGCTCATGCATGCCTGCTGAAAGTCCAAGCCCCTCACACCACAAACCTCCTTTACCCCCTCTCTCCTACCTTTCCTAGGCCAACCCCCACCCAACCGCCTTCCACTACAGATTTATAAGCTCCCAAATTTATTTCATTCCATTCCTCTGAATGTCCGAACACCTCAACAACCCCTCCTCAAGCCATCTGGATAATACTTTTGTAAAACCCTGCACCCCTCCTAATTTCCAAACTACAGATTCTCTGCATTATGTTCACACCTCACACTGCCCTAAGACATGACATCTCCACTGCCTTCAGGCATTCTCTTCTTGCAACATTCCCACTCGTGCTTCATACCCATATAAGAATGTTGTGTATAACTGTTCTCATACTTTCCTCCTCTTTGCTTCATGGACAACGTTCTTTGTCATTTACTCCTCCTTTTCAAACAATCAATATTTGCACCAATAAACTCATTACAGGTTGTGACCGGGTGTAGAAGTGTGATTTGCTCATTACTTTATAGTTGTTCATGATTGTACCCATGTTATAAAACGTAAGAAAACCATTTTACAGGATTCATTACTTTGTACCTAGTTCGCTATCCAAAACTTTGGGGGGGGGGTCCAGTTTGTGGCACCCCCCCCCATTCCCATACCTCTGTAATCTGTAAAATACCTTTGTAACTTTTGG